CTAACAAGGCCTTACAGGCTGGGCACAGTCAGGTTCCTGCCCTATACCAACCACTATGCATGCCTCACGATCACTCCAAATACACTCCCTCTGTTTTCCTATGTGCTGTACCTGTGTCTGTGTGTGTGAGGGAGGGGTAGGTAGCAGAGCTGGCTGGCCAGAGCTGTTTACTACACCTGTCACCAGCACTAAGACAACAAGATTAGCAGCAGGTTAGCATCCCGGTGACATCTCAGACAGACTAATGTAGATTCAGAGTAAAGAAGACAAGATTTGACGATTAGGACGGAAACATTCACACAGAGTGTACATGTGAAGAATGACTCAACATAATGCCGTAAGATGGAAGAAAAATACACAAAGAAAGACAAGACACATATGAGCACATAAGAGAAGGGACACGACACACACACACAGACACACATTCATCTTATGGTCCATCTCATTGCTTTTAAGAAGGGCTTACTGTGGCCGTGGGGATTCTCAAAACAACAGATTCTTTCCCCTGTGTCACCCAGGCTTACAGGCCCATTACACTGATTGGAGCATACAGCCTAATCTGGCTCATAACACACAGGACCCCAGGTCAGTGTGTGTGTGTGTGTGTGTGTGTGTGTGTGTGTGTGTGGGTGGGTGTGTGTGTGTGTGTGTTTGCTGCAGTTTATTACCTATTGTTAGAAGGGGCCAATATTGCCTATATTTAAAGCTTCCTAATCATTGACACCATTAAGAAGCTCTCAACTCTATATACCATATATTATAAACTTTAAACTTCATCACACCTTTATATAGTACTCTTCTTAGTCAATTCTGGCACAAGCAGACTTTTTTGATTCACGGGGTACGTGTAGTAGCTGAGTTTGTTCGGCTTTCTTCATGAGCTCACGTTGCAGTGTTAACAGGCGATGGAGATGAGAGCAGGTGTGACAGTTTCCATGGTGACATGTGACACTCAGCGCTGGAAAATCCACCCATCTATCTGCCTTACTGTCACACATCTATCTATCTAGTATCCAGCAATCTGTCCATCTATCTGTCTTTTTTTTTTTTTGACTGTGTAGGTTTAGGATGTGTTATAATGGCGAGACCTACCTTTGTGCATGCCAGTGTATTTGTCCTTAATCACAGTTAGCTCATAGATCTTGCCAAACTGCTCGAAGATAGGCTTCAGGTCCTTCTCTTCCAGATTCCGGGGAATCTGCCCCACAAACAGCTTGATGGCGTCTGCCTCCTTCATCAGGACAGAGTGGAGAGGACGACTGGGTACTGCAGGGGCTGAGGGGCAAACAGATCAGGAGCAGGTATCCCTGGAGAAGAGCAACCGATGCTGGGTGAGTCTTTAGGTTACAGCCGGAGAAGTGGACAATAATACAATACTTGTCACAATAATGATTCTAAAAATATTCATTTAGTGGCTTTTGGTATGTCTGTGGTATATAATAATGAGTTCAAATTTACTTACACTACACTTTGTATTTTAAAACTCTAATATTCGTAGTATTCCCTCCGAAGCTTATGTTTAGGATATTAGATTAATTGAATTTATTATAGTATTAGGATATTTATAGTTGTTAGGGTACAGAAATTAAGAATTAAAAAAAAAAAATGTTTTATTTAAATATGTGCTTTAAAATGTATGCCCCAATAATCTAAATAAATATAAAGATTATATCCGTGATTATTTTGAGTATTTATTGCCCATGCCTGATGACAAAGGGCTCCACTTGCTTCTGGTAAAACAATTATGCAAATGTTAATTAGCCAATCAAAAAACAATAACGGGACTTTCCCCCACCACCATCACAACCACCACCCCCCTTTCTCCCAATTAAATATATATATATATATATATATATAAATCTAAAATATCTATAAGCATGCATTACCTTTATGGTGGACAAACAGCGTTCAGGATCCCTACACATGAAGCAGAGAAGAAACAGCGTGATTGGGGGTAAATCATTGCAATAGAGCGGTTTCTTTGTTTAGCCAGCTGTAGGTTACAGCATACACACGGATGTCATGGGGCTCCCTTGCTCTTTGTCCGATCCCCCCCCACCCCCCATCTCAATGTACACATACACACACACACACACACACACACACATATATATATATATACACACACATATATACACACCAGAACAAAAACAACACAAACATTGATATAAAAAGCTTACCGTTTTCAGATGATGCTTATGGAGGGGAGATCAGATATTAAAGAGGGATGCTCTCTGTTGTGGTCCCCGTTGTTGTCCTCACCGCTCTCTCTCTCTCTCTCTCCCGTCCCGTCCTCCTCTTCCTCCCCTCTCTGGATGCTCTCCGCTCTTTGTGCCTGCCGTACTCTCCCTCTCCTCCTCCTCTGGTGTTCAGATACTCAGAGGCTCAGCTGTGTGTGTGTCTCTTTCTTTTTCTTTTCTTTTTCTTTTACAAAAGCCCCGTGTTGCCGCCGGTCTAGAGTCTGGAGGAGAGAAGTCCCAGCAGGTGAGTCCCGCTCAAAAAAAGAAGAAATCACAGCTTGTCACCGGTCCCACTGAAATTCAACCCAACCTCTCGACTCTCAAAAAAAAAGAGAGGAAAATCCAGAGTCAAACTGAGCTTATAGTTTTTTCACTTTTCACGAAAAAACCCACTTTTAATTCCTATTTAATTACAAAGTGATAGCAGGGCTAACCAGCTGCTTTAAATCTTGGGTAACATCCAACCGTTTGAACTTAACGTTTAACAGCCGTCGTTGTTCCGAACCGTTAATGGAGGCTACTCTAACTTAACTATTCTTCCTATTTTCTGGTTGTCTCGTAGCGTCTCACCCGTCCAACGGCTGGATGGCTTTTCACGTCCTATGCCGGTGTCTCCTCTACTCTCTTTCTCTCCCTCCCTCCCCCCTCCACCTCCACCTCCTCCTCCTCCTCCTCCTCTCGCCAGAGCGGTTGCTAGCCCGTGACGTAAATCCCAGGAACCGTTGACAAATTTTCTCGCCGTACTCACGCGAGAACAAAACAAAACACTGCCGTTTACTAACCCAACCGCCTTTAAAACCACCACTCCTCCACTTTGCGACATACGTGCTACGTTCAAATAGACAATTTTAATTTTGTAGCGCAATTTTTCGTTTCCTACGCGGCGGTTTGCCGGTGACATATTTGTAGACGTCGCCTAAAGAGCGACACCGTGCGCGGAACCGCCTATTGTTCTAGCCGCGAGCCCTGGCCTTGGTGCTGAAACGGTGCCTCTTGACGTGAAGCCGAAGCGCGCCGCCGACGTCGTGCACGACAGTCACGACTACTACAGCTGTTCACGCCCGAGCCCGAAATCACACTCACACCCACTCAGAGTAAAAAAATGTGTGACAGAGAGAAGGAGAGATAGCTCGGGGTTGGAGTTGGCCTACTTTACAGCATGTACTTTGGAAAACCGGCCGACATTGGGCTATTTCACTGGGATATGTAAAGACAAGCCTGCCCCCAATGTTATTGCACAACAAACCAGATAACAGTATTTTTTATTGTCTTTCGTGTGTGTGTGTGTGTGTGTGTGTGTGTGTGTGTGTGTGTGTCGAGAGTCTTGGGAGGAGAGATTGAGTGAAAGGAGAGTCATAGGGTTCATGGTAATTTACTCCAAAAGGTCACCATCTGCCTGCCTTGCCTCGTGCCCTCTGTAAGCCAGCATCCCCCGCCACATTCATCCACCATATATACCCCCCACCCACACACACACACAGAGCACACACACACACACACACACACACACACACACGCTCTTGCATGTATACCGCCACACTAGGGGCTCTCTTACAAACCCAGCACCGGCAGAGGAGGCACGCAAGGCCCGCTGCGCCCTGAGGATGTGAACGGTGTGCAGGCAGCGGGCAGCACGCCACCGGAGCTGTTAAGCCTCCCTGCACGATGCACAAGAAACGGCTATATAGCACGCAAGTGCAAGAGCAATGGCGAGGGAGGCTGTAACACTATTACCATATTCATAAAGTTTCAGAATGGTCTATTTTATAGGCCTGTTTGTTTGAAAGCAGCAGCTAACTATTTAAAGATAGCAGATTCTTTAAGGTAAAAAATATTTTATTTCAATATCCCAGGTCTGGAAATGCATGAAAATGGTTCCCATTGTCCATAAGATAAAGTCCCACCAGGCAAGTGCCTTGGAAATCCTGGCATGGCCTTTGCCATTATGGTGATGTATATTTTATAGGCAGATCCCAGTATTTTCAGACTCAATATATCTAAATGTGACTGCTTTTATGGTGAGAAGTACATTAAAATCACTGGTTGTCTTGACAAATTAGTATTTCTCCAGCAGAATTTTAAAGAAGTGTGGATAAGGCTTTGAAACAGTGTGAAGACCTTGGAAAATAATATTAACAGAAAATATAACTGAGAGACTCATGACCCCAGTATCTCAATGGCCCTGTCAGTTGGTACTTAGCATCCAATCCCACCGCTCTTAATACTGCACAGGATGCTACTCAACATACTCCTACTCCTGCAGTAAGACATATCTGACCCTTTTTGCATTATGCACGCTGCACAATAAACTTGATTTTGAAATTTTGTCTTTGAATCAGACATTGAAACATCATATTCTATATAAAAAAATGCTTCAGGAAAGACTAGGTCCTGTTATTTTAACTGTGCTGTTTGTGAATGTTGTAAATCGACTGTGTGCATTCTCATCTGACTACTGAACTAAATCATTTTATGGTGCCATTTTGCCCAAGTGACTCTTGAAAAACAGATAATGTATGTCAAGAGACTTCCTGGTTAAATAAATGAATACATTCATTAATTAAAAAATCTATTTAACTACAGAGTCAAGCTTGTAAGCGAAACCTTGGCACCAAAAAGAGACACTTACTCTACAGATTACTCATTTCTGAGGAAAACTGGGCCTGTTCATTCATGTATATGAGACTCAACGGCGCCATCGTTTGGAGGAAACTGGCCATATCACCCTTATTCACTGGACAAAAGCAAACATGACACTGATTTACTTCTCTGTTGTTTCAATTTTATTTAAAATGCAGCTTTGAGATAATAGTTTTTCCACACTGTTTTTTGTTTTTGCATGATAATAAAAAAAAGTCTGTGTATCATAAATCTCATAAACTCTGGTGGTAACAAAGAAAATACGCTACAGCTTCTTAAAACAGAAAATAAATTACATGTTCTTTAGATAATAGATAAATTACTATCCTTTTTTTGTTTTTATATAAAAAGTAATTTTTACTATGAGGGATTAGAGACAAGAATGACACATTCAAAGCCATGATCGCAAAACACACAACCATACAGACACATCACACACGCAAACATCCACAATTCACAAGTACATACAAGTTATATGACAGTTAGATGTGAATAAATGCAGTCTACAACAACACTTCTGATCTACTCAGTTATAAAACATAAGCGCCTACTTATTCAAAGAAATTATAGATATTAAACATATCTGACAAATATACAGACTCCTCACCCTCGAGTGGGGAGGGTGTTTTGTGTGTGTGTGTGTGTGTGTGTGTGTGTTTCTTCTTGGGAGGTGTGGGAAGAGAAAAAGAGAAAAAGTAAAAACTTACAAGAGCAGAAGAGAGAAAAGTTTAAAAAGTACTTACACACATATACAGAGGTCGCGGCCTCAGAATGCAAAATATTTACTTTCAGGTCAAAGCAGAATGATTGCATTTGATCCATATCTTGAGCTAAATCATATTTAGAAAAAAAAAACTGTTATAAGAAAGCAGCTTTCTCAGTCTCCATGAGGTTTTCCTAATTCTGGCTTCACCGACTCTCATAGATCACAGATCCATCATCCCCTCCAAAGAAGGAGACGATGGATGATAATAAAATATATATTGAGTTGAGGTGAGAAAACAGGGAGGACATCAAGTTGTTCTTTTAATACCTCAACACAACTGTCATGGTGACAAGAGCACTAAAATTAGGTCAGCCAGGAGTGAATCATTTTACATCTCCAAACCTGTGTGTCATCACCGACTTCATGGTTAAAGGCGAGATTCTGTATTTTTCTTATTGTCAAACAAATCACATAAAAAGACCAAAACCAGCCAAAGTGTCATACAGCTGGTCCACTAGTTCCAAACATTATTAAAAAGATACAATTCAGCCAAACTGTTCCACTTGATGATGTGTTTCTTCAATAAGATAAACATGAACAGTTTATTGTTGAGTCAATTCTGATGTAATAAATAATCACTAATGTAGTAGAATATGCAGCAGAATAAAAGTACCAAACAAATGCACTAATTTCTGTTCTTTGACTAACAAACATTTGCTAAAAACTATTTCAATTCAATTCAATTTAATTTGTATAGCGCCAATTCAAAACAAAAGTTATCTGGCAGGTCTAGACCGTACTCCTTATAAAATTATTTACAGAGACCCAACAGTTCCCACCATGAGCAAGCACTTGGTGACGGCAGCAAGGAAAAACGTCTTTTTAACTGTAAAACTACAGTGCCAGGGGCTCCCTGATAGCTCCCCTGGTAGAGTCCTTTGCTGCCTGTCGTCCCTCCTCTCCCTCCCACATTCCCCGTATTTCCAAGCTGTTTTAGAAAATTACTAAAGATTTACGTCATCAGTAGACATGGTTGAGAAGTCAGAAAGTATTGACAGACTAACACATTGTGTGATTTGTTGACAATAAGAAAAATACAGAACAACATCAGTCTCATCACTTGATACTTTGATTTTTAGAATTTCTTTCATTTTGTTGTGTTTTTTTTCCTGTTTTTTAGCAGCAGCATCATCTTAAGTTTAGTAAAAACACAACTGCAACTAGCTGTGGATTTTAACTCCAACAGCCTTCTTTAAAACAATGTATGTAAGTGACATTGTTGAAGAACTCTACAGACTCCGTGCTGCTTGTTTACATCTTTGTCTTATATCCTTCTAGTTTGGGAAGAATCTCACCTCTTCCTGCTCTGATATATTTGGTCACCTATTGCCATGCTCAACCCCCACACCTTTGGTTCATCTGTCCAAATACTGAACTGCACAATAAGAGGACACTTGAGGAAATATTTTTGGCAAAAAGAAAAAAAAGACATACGATATGTTAATGAAATCCTTCTAGCTTAGTTGGGCCACTGTAGCGCAGTGGGAGACATCTGCATTGTACAGAAGCACAGCAGATCTATTCCAGTAGATCTTCAGCACACAGTATTCAGTATACACAGTTTATCTAGCATACATGGTAATTATTTGTTCAGCACATTTATTTTAATAATTAGTGGTATGCATGGTTGATCTGTCATCTGTTTTAAGATCCTGTATATAAGAGAGAATTTCTTTTTAAGGCTAAATTTGCTGTTGAAACACAGCCGTGTCCTCAGTGAGAACCTTCCATTACAATCTCTCAGCTATAGAAAAGAGTTTAAATCATCGCAAATGCATCACTCAGCCCTGTGTGACACACTGTGAACCTGTTAAAGCTAATGCACAAAGTAAACAAGCAAGCTCAGTGGAATTTGTGGTTCTAAAAAGACAATATAAAAGAGTAGGCAGAGAACTGGAAGAAGGAACCGGCTGCTTTCACAGTGTTTTACCTGAAGATTCAGGAGGAAATAGAAAATGAATGTTTTCTGACGGCTGTCACAGGGATTATGTCTACTCTGGGCTGTCCATTTCTACACACTTGTCATCAGCCCTTTTGACCTGATCCATGACTTCTTGCACACCTGGGCTGTCTGTGATTGGCTGGTCAGTGCCTCTTGGCACGCTGAGCACTCTGGGTGCACGAGGCACAGCAGGCGCTCTTGTAGTAAGAGTAGACGCACAGCCTGGCCTGAACCACCATCACGCAGTTATGACGTCTGTCCCGGCAGTTTTCGTCTGCGAACAGAGACGAGGAGGAGAGAGGTTGGTAGGGAGAATGACCGAGAACACACATGAATACGCTGTCACACTGTCACACACAACCAACCTGAGACTTGTGGACTGCAGGGAATTGTGTTGCAGATTTGCTCCTGTTCAGGTTTGGGGCGCAAATCACAGTCATGGCTGTGCTTTTTATCTTGTGTTAGACACCGTACCTCCCTCATTTGTAAGCCTTTTCCACAAGAACGTGAGCACTGAGAACAAAGGCAGAGAGAGAGAGTGTAAAAAAACACAGTTCTAATATTCTCTTTCCAACATTTAATTCTCAATTCCTATCCCTTTGTCTCTCACCGCGCTCCACTCTGTTGTGAACCACTGCGGCTGACACTCTCCCATCTCACACTCTTGGACCGCGACAGGCTTGTCCAGATGTGCACACTCACTGGCTGATGCAACAGTAAAATCATTCCCTGTCTTCTGGACACAAATGATGTCTCGTCGCTGAGTTCCATTCCCACATGGGACATTACACTGGAAAAATAACAAGAACTAGTTACAAGGAATACAATAGCTGTGTTTGTGACTGCCCTTTTACTCCTAAACAAACATAGAAAACCTTTATGTACAAAATAAAAACACGCAAAAGAATTTAATAAAATGCAAGATAACACAAAGGACTACATAAAGTATTAAATAAAGTTATTATGTGTCAATAAAAGTGTCTATAATTGTAGAATCTAAGAGGTTTGAATCTGTTTTCCCTGCATCCTACCTGTGTCCAGGGGCTGCTGTACCACATGGTTGTTGCCACACAGGGACCCCCATTGCAGGCCTTCATCTCTGCTGGTTTGTCCCCAACACAGTCCCCTCCTCTTCCACCCTCCCTGACCCCTCCTCGAGTCAGACACACCACCTCCCTCCTCTGCACCCCTGGGCCACACTGTGCCGAACACTGAGGGACAAAGTGGAAGATCATGTTGAGGATTACTGTTAAGTGCTGTGTATGTTTCTTCCTTTACTTCTGTGTATGTGTGTTACTCACAGTGTTGGACCAGTCAGTGAAGTACCAGTTAGTCACACAGGGACCCATGTTGCACTCCTCACTTCCCTGTGGGCGAGCCCTGGAGTTGCACTCCTTGTCGTTTACGATGCTGCCTTCGTCGCTGAGGCAGCGCACACTCCTTGTCCTCCTCCCAACTCCACAGTCCACGGAGCACTATGACAAATGGAGAGGGGAAACACAATAATGAGTTTAAACAGATGAAAGAAAGGGCAAAATACTAGCTGACAGCTGATTATCAATCAATAAATCCTTTATTTGTTCCCAAAGAGCAATTGGCTGCAGAACAGTTGTTGGTTGTTGTGAATTGTGTGCTTTTGTTATTATTATCTATTATAAATGTTTTATTCACTCAACATATGTAGCTGATTAATAGAAAAACTTAAATTAACCATGATCTTAAAAAATGGTTTGTTGCAACCCAGCCCATGGCACAGTGCCTACAGCAGTCTCCAACTTGAAAAGAACTTAAATAGTTATATGGTAACCTAATGAAGGAACTAAAATTGAAATTTATCACAGAGCCACATAATTTCAAAGTCCCATGTCAAAAATAAAAAGAACTTCATACACAAAAATGTTTTGTTTATTTTAACCCAACTCCACCCACTCTCTCTCTCTTTCAGTCTGTGTTTGTTTCTGTGACTTGGCCTCTTTTTATCATGTCTGCACCCCCATTAGCAAATCCATTTCCCAGTGACACACTGGTGTTGTTGACCTACCGTGCTCCAGTCAGAGCTGACCTCCCAGTGGGAGCAGAGGCGGAGCTCACACGCCTGTGTGGACTCTGGTGGTGTGAGGTTGGCACAGCGCTGTGGGTGGACCATGGTGGAGCGGTCCCCAAAGCTCTGCCTGCACTGGAGCTGCCTCTGCTGCACGCCGGGGCCACAGGAAACGCTGCACTCAGACCATGAACTGGCCTCCCAGCTGAGAGAAACAGTGAGGGAGAAAGAGAGAGAGAAGCTGTGAAATAACACATAATTATACGCCTTCAGACAACTATTTCAATAAGATCCAAGACTGTGTGTCAGTATTAGATGCACATGTCAGCTCACTTCAGTGGTATCCTGACAATGAAGTCAACTATTATCCAAAAATGATGGGCTTTTAGATTTCAGTGAGCATGTTTTGGTACCTCCCTGGCATCCACTGGTTTCCTTTCATAATAATCTGTTTGCAGAGTCTAATCATCAAGTCAGCAATGACTACATAAGGAGATTCTGCAGTGTGATTTGTGTGTGAAAGCTGCACTGGCTTCTGTAGGAAAATGCATTACTTTCACTTCCTGGAGAGCTGAAGTTTTGGAACGGAATATAAATCTTTATAAGGTCTATATAATGGGGATCTCTTCAAGTTAACTGTGTATTTACTCACAATGGTGGGCAGGGATGTGTGTTACAAGGCTCCTCCTCGGGGACAGGTTTGGCTGCAGAATCACATTTCCTGTCTGGGACTTCCTCATCTGTATGGCGGTCTATACACAGAATGACTCGGTACTGAGTACCTACAGAGAGAGAGAGAGATAAATAAATCCACACAATGAGAATGACATAAACTCCATGTTCTTGTACTTGCACCTACCAACCAGAGGAGGGAGGCATCGCACCATCCAACTAAATAAATATCATTTTGTGTATTTAATTTCAATTCATTTAAAATGACACAAATATGAAGATCTGCAAGGCTAATCCGAATCTAACCTTTGCCACAGGAAGCAGAACAGTCGGTGAGTCCGCCTCTCCTCCACACAAACGGTGGCTGAGTGTCCAGAGGTAGGTCGGTGCGAGGGGGGATCCGAGCATTCCTGTTGGGTGCAGAGCCTCGAGGACGTGACCTCTCAGGTGTCCACCGGTCCGAGGAGGGGGGAGAAAACACAGAGGACGAGGACGAGGAGGAAGAGGGAAGTGAAGGGACCGAAATAGGAGGAGGAGCAGGAGGAGGGTCTTCTACTGATACAGTAAGAGGACCTGCAAGAGAAGAAAATAATCGATGGACAAATTAGAGAGAGGAAAAGGTGGGAGAGAGAGGCGAAGATTGGGAAACAGACATGAGGAGGAGCAGAGAGGAGCGATAAAGAGGGAGGAAAGAGGCAAAACATGAATGCTGAAATGTTGAGAATAGGAGGAAGGCAATGAGTCAGAGGCTAATGATGTCATGATGAGGTCAGGGTCTCATGACAGCGAACATGTGGACCAGATAGCCTCCCATCTAGGTCATATACAAACACACAAACACACCACAATAATCCCTCCCACTTGGCCCACAACCACACCCATCCTAATCCATAAACACGTCAATCATTCTCCAAGGACATGGGTTGCAGTGGTGTTTCCTTGAGTAATTTGGAAAGAATGAATGCTGAGATCTTGATTTAGGGTTTAGTTCTGCCACTGACAAGATTCAAGTATGTGCTGAACATGACTGTCGAGAGTGCAGTGTCTCCATGCTACTGTACAGAACATGCAGAAAACAAGGCTGCACAACAGAAGAAGGGAAATCAGAAGTGCGATGGACGTACTGCGAAGGGGTGCCCTCCCTGGCTCTCGCTCCCTCTGCCTCTCTCTGGGTGCCTCTCTGGGTGTCTCCCTCTCTCTCTCTGTCAGCCTCTCCCTCTCTGCCTCCTTCTTCTCCACCGGGATATAAAACTCATAGTCGATGCCTGGGTTCTCCTTGTGGAAAATGATCTGGAGAGTAAAACAGGGTGATAGAACAGACAGAACTAGGTGAAAAGCAGCAAACGATAAGAAATACTCTTAAATAGCTTTAAAGATTTACGTTACGTTTATGTTAGAGACCAGGATGAGTTACAGTTTAGCCCTTATGGCCCTTGCAGGGAATCAGTGTCATGTTCAAGGATACCACAGCAGGGTGTATGCTTGCCACTATGTCTCTCTTACTATGAAGCTCTGTGCCCTATCTTACAAGACTTAACATAGTCAAGGTCATCTAAACTTAATCAGCTGGAGTCCCCTGGCAACAACATTGTGATCTGCTATTTTATGCCAGAGACGGCAATGTAATACAATCAGTCTCTCAATCTGTCGATGGTCCAGAGCAACATATCTCAATACCAACGGGATGGACTGACATTAAATTGATGGAAGTGTTCATGGTCCCCCAAGCTTTGTTACCTCAGTTCATGTCAATGTAGTATGTATGATACATGTAACCCTCTGTAAAACTGTGTTGTGTTGTTTTTACACTGTTTTTTCAGATTAAACAAACAAGTTATAATGTGTTTAATATTGAGCTTTACAGGTGCTGATAGACAAATTGTGTTACCTTTGTACAGAGTGAGGCTAGCTGTTTCCAGTGTGCAATGATCAGCCTTGTGGTGCTACTGGCGTGGCTAGTTATAGACTTTTAGTCTTTTTATGTCTTATTTGAAAATCCCAAGACTTAAAAATGCACGTGATTCCAGAGGAGATCGACCACCGGCTTTGGTGGATGCTTGCTATTTTTACCCCCCTCCTGCCCTGTAGCTACTGGATGCAAAGCTGCAGATGACTCCTGTTCTTTAATAAGATCTTAGCCTGTGGTTAGAGTCGTTATTATTAAGCCTTGTATAGTCAGATGTGGCTCAGGCTTAGCTTTACTATAGCTGATGATGGCTATCTGGAGGATCTTGACACAGAGCAGGGGGGCATAGCCTTGGGCTTACGGCAATGTTATAGAGATGTGAAACACTGTGTATACATGTGTGTCCATGTATGTATGTGATTCTTATCATTAACTTAATTTTGTCATGCTCGGGTTCATGTTTGCTTACAGGGTTAGAATAAATGCCTTCCTGTGGTCCAATACTTACATATAGCTGTAGCTGTGTGGTGGTGGGTCCTGGAGCCCTGAGGGACTCGCCCTTCTCCTCCTCCCCCTCTGCCTGTGCTCTAGGTCGGGTGTAGGAGAAGGTAGTCCCTCCTGCCTGGTACTCCCCTGGAGGGTCCACAGCCCACCGCCCATTAACCACTGAAGCCCCAGTGCCACTCCTCATGGCTGGAGAAATAGGGGGTGGGGGTGGATTGTCAGAAAGGCAGACAAGAAGAATGAAGCTAGACTTGAGTCAAGTTTTCTTTTCTTATTTTGACCTTGTTTAGTCTACATAGTGTCAAACCCCATGATCACAAACACAGACTCAGACAGACACACACAACCTTTGGAGTGCTGTTTCGTTACCAAACAGGGGGCTGGCAAGACAAACACTCCCACATACACATACACACTTCACCAGTTCCTTTTGGCCTCTAACAATACTGGCTTTATCCACACGGAGTCTGTGAGGCTGCAAAATTCACAGTCTTAGTCTAAGCCAGCACACACATACTCATAGGCCAAATCTCATTCCCAAATCTGCAATTCTCTCGCCAACGTCTCACTTTTACTGGAGCTGCAACTACTATTATTTGAGAAACCCTAAATTGCCTGTGTGTGCGCGTGCTTTTGTTTGTGTCATTACCCAGGTAATTAGGACTGGCTCGTCTCTCTGTGATGTTAATGAATGTAGCTCCGGGTGGGATGTCAAGGATCTTATGGTAACCAAGGGGAACCGTGGCATTTTGGAAGCTTCCAGTCACCTTTCGACAGGAGGTTTCCCGCCCACCACAGACTCCACATTTGTCAATCACAGAGCCGGAGCCCAGCACCCCATCGCAGCCCTCGGTCTGGCAGAAAAAAACAGGGAAAAAGATGTGAGTGATGGGTCAGACAATGAGGGGGAAAAACGTGGGGTAGGAGAACAAGAGAGATGAGGGAAGAAGGGTGGGGGCAGGGCAAGGAATAGCTAATTCCAATCTAGTTGACATTTCACATCCAGTGCCAGTGTTTATTTCAGCGTTGTTTGAGTAAATCGTCGCTGGCCATAAATGTCGCTGGCCAGATTCCTGCCAGAAACAGAAGGTCTGATTTCTGCAAAATCAGAAAGAGTGTAAATGAGACTTAGGAAACAGAGAAAAGAGGCCCAGCGTAAGGTAATAACAAAACGATTGGAGACAGTCTGAATGTGAATGCCAGGTTTAAATCAGACTCCAGACATGAGACTAAGAGAGCCAGGTTCTGGACTTTGTCTACCCCCGTTTAGACAGGAGCGACTTGAAGCTAAAATCTCACACATTTAAATGCACTCACCAGACACCGTCCTTCTACACACACATCGTTTGAGCTGACGTTAAAGCAGGGAGTCCCGTCTCTGACGCGCTCGGCCTGACGAACATAGAAACGGTAGCCGGCAGGTCTGCAGGTCAGCTCGCACTGCTTGTCCGCACCAACTGCAACATAGAGAGGATAGAAGGATTATTGCACAACGTATATGTTTGTCATAAATGTGTGTAAAATCTCCTGTATGACTGTATTTAGTTTCTTTGTGCGTCTGCCTGGTGTGGAGAAGACCCAGCTGGGCGCTGAACATCTTTCCATGTGGTCAGGAAACCGAGGCAAGGCCATATAACCCCTGACTGTCAGACAGCACCAGAGTGATTAGCTATTTCCCCTGCTGCTCAGATGTACGAGTGCACTCACTGCTGCACCTTCCCAAGAGATACATACCCAGAAGAGAGGTGTAAACATAAGCCTGAGGAAGGTTTGATTTATGAGAGGAACCTAACGGGCGCACACAGCAGTGAGACACGTAGTTGGGAAGAGAACAGAAGGGAAGAATCAGAGAAAGAGAAGACAGCTTCAAGGTAAAAGAGGAAATTGCCTTTCAGTACTGAGAGAATAGGCAGATGAGTGCAGAATACAGAGGATCTCATAAGGGAATAGGGGTGGGGTAAAGGCAAAAAATGTAGAGAAAGTAAGACGAGTACGTGGTGAAATACAATAAGCATGTTTAAATGGTGCTTGGGAAATATTTACTTTATTTCTATGAGAAGATATCAATCAGTCGTCACACAGATGTTACATGAAACCTCTAACTTTCAAAACCACAAATTGTAATTTTTACACATTTGTTTCTGTAAGGATTAAACAAACAAGATACAAAATGTGTTATTTACTGAGCTTTAGAGGTGTTGGTAGGTGTATTTTTGAACTTCGGACTGAGCCAAGCTTGCTATTTCCGGAACGGGTGATAAAGGCAGGAAGGGACAGTGAGTGGCCCCGCTGTTCATCACTGCTCTTTGAGCTTGGAGATTGGGGGGTGTAACAGGGGTTAAAGGCGTCTGGCAGAGCTGGTGTGTGTGTGTGAAATAGAGCTATATAGACATGATCTCATAGTATGAGTAAGGGGTCATAGATTTAGTTGCAGAAGGAAGGGAGGGGTTTCTGTCACTGGGAGTTCAAGGGTTAAAAGCACAAATGCTGTGCTTCTGAAATTGTGACTTCTTACTATGGTGTCATATTTCTTAAGACAGAAATGTTCCCACTATTAAGTTCTACATGAATATAAACAATTGTACAGTCATATTATCCTGTCTTTGCTGTAATTTGAAAAATAGGCATTTCTCTCCATAAACCCTTCTTTTGTAAAAGTAAGTAATAAAAGTGCATTTCTAATATTACTACTTAATTTTCATATAATAACAATGAAGATTGTCTTACCATGAAAATATTTCTTCTCCAAGTTCAAATAAGTCATCATCAGCAGGTAACCTAAAGCCCCTACCATCTTCAAAGTCAAGAGGCTCATAAGAGAAGGACCTCTTGACCATAGGAGATAGCCAAGAACAAAGACTAAAGGTCAAATACCAGACCCCTGGTTTCCCCTTGTGTGTCCAAGAGAGAACGGAAAAGGTATGTAGTGAATTCAAGGGAACTCCATATGCTTTCACAGAATCTCTGAAGTTCCTTGAATCTCTATAAATAAAGTACAACAATGGTTTGCCAGGTATAAAGCAGTGGACAGGTCATCGTAATTAAAAATAGCAAATCTCCAGACATTAGAGAAGGATTTGTAAAACTGGACTATTCATATGCCATTTCATTGTTTTGTTGGTTTCCATTTCAGCAGGACACCACCAAAACAGAAGGATAAGGTGCAAATGACACAAGGAGTATTTCAGTGGGAAGGCAGAGTGAATTAAATGTTATCTTAATGACAAAAAGTGGCCTATGGATCTTCTTCAGTATATTTCCAAAATACCTCAGCATCAGGGATTAGCCACATTGTGAGTCTCGACCAAAGACACTACAGTTTGGACCGAAACACCACGTACAGGTTTGTGCCTTCACAAGTTAGAAATCCTGATTTATGGTTGTTTGTCCGACCAAATACGTTAAGACATTGAAGAGTGTATTTTATCTCACTAAGTGGCTGGAAGTGGTCAGGAAGTTATACACGTGAAGCAATTGACCCAGGCTGGATGTTTATCTTCCACAACTTTGTAGAGAAATAAAGGTAATGCATTAACCTGAATGCACCAGATGTTTAGTTACACAGAACCAGAAGAAAGATTCTCGCATGACTGTACGTGTCCAGCTGCCTCACAAGGTTAGTAATAGTGGTAGTACATCAATTTGCTTAGAAATATACTTTGAAAATGTAGTGGTGGTCCTTCAGCTTTGGCAAACATCTGCTGCACGATACTTACCGAGCACATAGTATAAAACATTAGAAAGTGCTTGACCAACATACAACAATGTGTCATCAGCATACATGGAAACTATCTAGTGCCTATGAGAGATAGCACAGTTATAAAGGAGTGCAGTCTTACTGTCTCTGATTTCAATAATGTGGGACCAAAACTGCTTCCATTTAGAAAAAGGAATCAGTGAGTACTTAAAAAATGTATTAATTATTATTTTTAGCTTAATCTGCTTTACTCTGATGGTATTTATTATAAAATGAACTGTTCTTTTAAAGTACTTGATATTTAAATATGGGATAAAAATTAGGCTTTTACTGATTTTACCAATTGATTTTATTGATGTAACTATTTTTGATTAACACACAATTGTCTTGTTAGTACTTCAGTACAATAACGTGTATTAAGCATGAGTCACTGTCGATGACTACCATACAAATGAGCCAAACTTCTGTCTTCAGTTATGTGTTATGATTCTTTTGCTACTGTCTGATACTTGCAGAGAGACAGATATACAGTACAAAATTAGAAAGAGAAAGAGAAAGGGAGGCAGTGTTCCCACCCTCTCTCTCTCCACCCTGGTTCTCTCTTTCCGTCTGTCATAGTTATCTTTGAGAGATTAGACTGGAGACAGTGACAGAAAAGAGAGGGGGAGCTAAAAGTGGGATACGTGTTGCCACTCATGTACTCTCTCTGTATTCTCCCTCCTCATCTCCCTCATTCTCCATCTCCTCTTCTTCTTGCCCCGAAGTCATGTTCGAGCACTCTCCAACTCCTAATCACCTTGGAGTCTATTTTTGGTCTTTATCTTTCATTTGTCTCTTGCTACTTCTCTGTGCTTCTCTGTTTCTCTCTTCACCTCGATCTCTGGCCTCTCTTTCTCTTCCACTGTCTCTCTCTCCCTCTCTCCCTCTCTGAGCTTAGTGTTCAGACAGTGGAATATATGTTGTCTAAATATACTTCCCCACTATCTCTCCGTCTAAACAAACTTCAACAGGGAGAGAGAAAGAGAGAGGCATTGGGACAGGAAGAGGGGAGGATGAGTGCGCAGAGAGGGGATGAGGCCTGAAAAAAAGGGAATATTCAAGTAAAACAACACCTGCACGTGCAGCGCTTACAGAATTAAAGTGGTACTTTTATCGAGAGCAGAGCTTGTGAGAGGAAACATTACCACTAATATGAATCAGGACTATCACTTCTGTGGTTTATCACTGCAGTGGCAGCTTTACAGTTTAAGCTTCAAGTTCCAAACTATAGGTCACAACACTGTGCAGTACATACATAACAGGGCTGTCACCTTGGAGGCAAAAGATTGCACACTAAGTAGCAAGAGCTGACTGCACAGTGTAACATAAATACTAACGGGAAATATTTGCAGCGCCGTACAAAGTCCTAAACAGATGAGTGCAGCTGGAGAGAAATGACTAACACACCATTCAAAACACACACACACTCCTCGGTCCTCGCAGCCTCCAGTGTGTTGATGGGAAGCTAGATATGAAGGTTTGGGTTGTAGCCAATGGGACCGGACTGGAGTAAACAGTGCGATAGGGTTTACTTAGCAGAGTGGAAAAGGATCAGCTCCAGAGCAGATCGAGTGTGTCTGACACAGCTGATGTCATCTGCATATAGTTTTGACACGTACAGTACTGTGTTTAAGAGACAGACACCAACAAAAGGTGACATCTGCAATTTGGTGGCTTGCAGTAATATGACCAAGTCTTGTCTTTCTAGTGGCAGAACCATGATTTAGCCCCCTATCAGTTCTCTGTTTTTCCTCCCTTCCCCTCTCTCTCTCTCTCTCTCTCTCTCTCTCTCTCCAGTCCTCTCCTCTTCTCAGCAGATCTCAAGGTCACGGTGGTTTAAAATAAGCCAGAGTAGAGCAGAGGGCAAGGATGCACAGCAGATAGAGAGAATTTAAGAGAAGCTCAATTCAGGATAAATAAAGTATTCCCACTCTTTTTCCCCTCACAAACACACAGAGACGGGGGGTGGTGTGTGTTTATGCAGACAGTTAGACTCTAGTTGATACCCTGGTGATGACTCCTGGTACAGATGTGCAGCATACATAGTCTAGATCTGCCTGCATCCTCAAAACTGTACTCACTCTGTGTTGTCTTGAGCAAGGCAGGGAATCTACCAGCAGAGCCCCTGCCTCTGACCTTTTAAACAAGCAATGGAAATAAATTATGTAATCCATCCATTATCTGTAAACGCTTATCCTTTGTGTGGTCAACTCATACTTGGTTAAAGGCATGTTGCCTGTTTGTGACAGGGCTAACACATATACGCAGGCAACCATTTTGCCATTTCATAGCTGTCTCTTTAATATCTGTGTGTACATTTTGGGAAATGTTGGATATCACACAATATATTGTTGCAATACAAAATTACATACACCATCATATTATCCATATCGCCCACTTCAACCTGCATGTCTTTGGACTTGCTGGGGGAAATTAATGCAGGTTCGGGAAAAGGCCCAAAACCACTATTTTGTGTTATAAAATAAAACAACTGATGCTTGACACAGAATAAAAACATTAACTGTTAATTTAACTTATCTCCATAGTTTAAAAGTTGTGTTATGTGATTATATTAAAATATGGAAATAAGTTACTTTGCTGACCATGTAGTGTAAAGCGGGTTAATTGGCACTTTTTCGCCATAAACAGTTGCTTGCTGCTTCTGTAATTGCGGTTAATGAGATTCGTGACAGTGAAAACTGTAAATTTGAGGCCCATAACACCAAAACAATTAGCCCAAAGATACTAAAATGCTCCATAGGGCAGAGTGGAAGTGCAGAGTTGGGTTACATTTCTCTGTGGGTTCATCGCTATAAGCAAACCTTTTACGTTAATCTTTTTTGCTTAATTGTTAATATAGAATATTGTTTAGTGCAGCTTTAACATTGTTTTTTTCCTGTGTTATTCTTCCTAACATCTTTATTGGGTTACTATGTTTTTAATTTTGAGTGTATTGTTTTAAGACAGACTAAAACCAGACTAATGTAGTAGCTCTACACTCTCACAACCAGCTGAAACAGCAATCACAAATGCACAGACAGACAGATACACAAACATACATGCACACACATTTTTCCACATATCATCTCAGATCCATTAAGCTAATTCATCTACAGTACGAACACACTTGCCAATGAGCTCATACTGTACATACACAGCAGCTTGTACGCATAAGTCTAATGAAAAATACTGCTGATATGATCTCACAGCTGTGTTCCTCTCTACTCTCTTTCTCTCTCCCTCCTCTGTTCTCTCACTCCCAAAAATCCCCATGTTTGTAATATTCTCTCCATCAAATTCCTCAAATATCTGTTTAGTGTTTTCTCTCTCCCTCTGTCTTTCCCCCCCAGCATCGGAAAACAAAGATAAATAGACACACTGCGCTGAACTATTGTACACTTAACAAGTAAGTAAACAAACACACACCACCACACACGGACACACTCACACATTAAGTATGGAGAAATAAAGACATGCACACAAACACACAGGCCACGTTGTCTCCCTTTGCTCCCAGTGGTCACGTGACAAAACACTTGCATCCCATCACCTCTCACCTCTCTCTCTCTCTTTCTCTTTTTCTTTATCTCACTCAGTAGGAATCTGTGTGCTTAGTCAGAGCTGGGAGGAGAAGCTTGGCAGGAGAGGAAGGGAGATGTTGGACAAATGAGAGGAAAAAGAGAGGAGGGAGAGTGTTTTGTGCAAAGAATAAAATCAGATTGAGTTCCAGTCATTCTCTTTTCCTCTCGACTCTCACCACCCTCGATGCTACATGAGCCATAGGCCTGCTCCAATGAGAAGAAGGATTGTGGTGGGTTGGGCATGCAGTGGAGGCCTGCCAACACACACTCATACCAGAGCAACATTTAACTCACTTAAACACACATTTTACTGATGCTTTTTAACCCCCCCTCCTTCTCCTAGCATTTAATTTGCCATAAGCCTATTATCACATTGAAGCACTGTGTGGTTAAACCGTATACTACCGTGTGTGTTAGTGTGTGTTAACTCAGTCCTCACCCTCAGTGAAAGGTTCCCAGTTGTAGAGGCGACCCATGAACTCTTGGGTGTTAAAGGCTGCACACTGCTCTGCTCTGGACTCCAATGCACCTCCTCCACACACCTGGAGGACAGAAACACGAGAGACAGAGAGACAGAGAGACAGAGAGAGAAAAGTTTAAAATGCAGTGCCACACATTGAAGTAATATGAAATCACCCAGCTATTAAACCGATGGTTGTTTCTCTCCCAGTCCCTGGAGAAGAAAGGGTGGAGTGGACTGTTGTGAGTAAAAGGAGAGGAAAAACAGCAAATAAAGACGGGGAGAATTAATTCGAGATCATAGAGGTAAGCGCAAACACGCCATACTCTAATACACAAACACACATACACATACATAGTCTCTGTGCTTCTTTTGGCAGTCAACAAGTGTATTAGAACCATATGGAAATAATAGATTTTTTGGAAGCGGCTGCTCACATAAATCCACCATGGCTTTCAGTGCATGACCACAGAATGTGAGTGACTGTGTGAGCACGTGTATGTGTGTGTGTGCGAGTGTGTGAGCACATGTCCAGCTTGTGCTCGCTCAAGCAGTCCTTATGGAGCCGTACACTGGAAAGAGTTTTAGCATACCTGCACTTAAACAACAGCTGAAACATCAGGCAGAAACGACATTGCTGGTTTATACCGTACAGACTATAATTCACTGAGCATTGCCCCAGTCCAGTGGGACAAACACACTCACAGACACAGACACAATATTGCACTTTTAAGCCTTGCTCATAGTGGGGTTATATGGCAATGGCTGTCTGTCAGGTCACTCAGTACACTACTGGGTACAGACTGAAACATCTCAACAACTATTGGATGGATTGCCGTGAAATTTGGTACCAGACGACGAATCCTGATAACTTTGGTGATCCCGTGACTTTTTGTCTAGCTCCACCATCAGATTATAAAGCAAGAAATTAGTGGTTTGTGACCAAATACCTGCAGAACAGTTTACAGTGGAACAGTTAGCCTGGTAATAGGGTAATAAAATCTACCTACAAGCACCTCTAAGGTGTTATTAATGAGCTTTAGAGGTGCTGGTAGGTGGATTTTATGGGGTCATCCCTATGTTCCCCGGGTCCTATGTTCCCCGGGTCCTATGTTCCCTGCTAAGGTTAGGGTTAGGGTTCCCCGGTCCCATACAAAGCAGGGAACATAGAACCCGGGGAACATAGGACCCGGGGAACATAGGTACGCTCCCAATTTTATTACTGTTGGACAGAGCCAGGTTAGCTGTTCCCCCCTGCTACCAGTCTTTATGCTAAGCTGCGCCAACCGGCAGCTAGCGGTAGCTTCATATTCAACAGACAGATATGAGAGCGTCAAATAAACATATATCAAACTTTTAAGTACAGTTTACTGATTGTACGTCTGCACCCCTCATGATGAATGTAAGACTTTACTTATGGTACTTTTACTAAAGTACAACATCTGAATACTTCCACCACTGCACACACACTCAGCTTACTGGGTATCATTACTCTGGGAAGCCACAACCATCCTGTCTGGTTAAAAACCTACTGAGTTTACAGCCCTCTGATGTACAGCTGGTTCAAACACACATACACACACACACACACACTCTTGCATGCCGCACACGGAGCTCTCAGATTTCCTTGCAACTCAAATCTTTGTCAGCTCCACAATCTTCTTGTCTTTCACTCCTCTGTTTCTTTGATTCGTTCCTCTTTTGTTTTTTTATTTCCCCCCAATCTCTCTTCACTCACACAGCTGTCACAAACAGCTGGAAAGTTCCTAGACGCTCATCTGGGAGAGACAAGAGCAAGGGAGTTGTCAAGTTTATACACACACACACACACATACACACACACACACACACACACACACACACACACACACACACTCATCGACATTTCCCATGTGAACCAGCCTCGGCGACAAAGTGCAACTAAAACTCTCTCATGGATAAATGTCAAAGCATGCACTAAATTTCACACTTTGACTTGTGTTGTGTGTGTGAGTGAAGGAATGCATGTGGCCATCTTGTCACAAGGCACTCATAAGGATCATCTGTTGGTTCTGTTCTGGCGAAGTGTGAAACCACCCATGAAACTTTATGTAGTACGTTCCGCCACAGTTTCACACGGCTGAAACAGACTTATTTTTGTGTTATTTATGGGAGATATATTATAGTCTGGTTTAAGCCTTTTATACCAGAGTGTGTTTCATGTTCACTGAATACATGAGTGAATGTGGGCGCTTGAAGGTCAGTGCACGTATGTGACCTGATGTTTCCAAGTAACCGTGTAAATCTGCCCGGATGTGTGTGTGAAATGTGGTTGGTAATGGTTGTAAATATTTCTGCAGGACATAAACACGTTGGGCCCCATTTTAAACGGGATAGTTTCTGTGTATCTCTGAAGGCACGTGTGTTCCTGTAAGACCATAAACAATGAGCAGACAACGACCACCATACATACAAGGACAGTGTGTGCGTGCAGCTTTGGGATGCTACAGTACAGTTAAAAAGAAAGAAAGAGCTTCCATAAAAGACCAAAAAGGAATGTGAAATGCCAAGAGAGAACGCAAGAAGAAGTCAAGCCTATGCATTCATGCGTTGGTTATCGTCTGAATGCTACAGGGCGAGTTGATTCTCCTCCCGAAAGAGTTTAAGGGTGTGTAAAACAGAGGGAGGCTAATGGACTGAATGGAGGAAGGAGGGAAGGGAGGTGAAGTGAGAGTAAAAGCAGAAGAGAGAAGTCATGTTCACTGGTGTTTTAATGGCTCTGGAGGAGAATTTGTGTGTTATTGTAAGGACTGGTATACTTTTGGTGTTCCCTCATTTACTATGAGGGGCAGGGTTAGGGGTCTGCCCATAACCGCCAAAGGGCAGCTTGAACAGAAAGAGGGGAGGAGTGGAGTGACAGGGAGAGTGGCAGTTATTGAATAGGCCAAGGAATGGGGAGAAAGAAGAGTGATGGCTTTTACAGAAGCAAAATACTTAAAATAGGGTGGTGATGGAAGGAGAGAAAGGCAGCGAGGATGGGCCCGGGCCTGTGGATGAAATCAAGACACTTAAACCACAAGTACACTCCAAACAGAGTCAGAACCACTCAATCACTTCGCAACTTTCAAAAACATCTTTTTAAATGTTTTTTTTAAACCTATGTTTTATTTTCACTTCATGCATTCCATACATTCAGTACAGTCCTGACGTCATTTCACTTTCCATCATTGTCTTTGCAGAAGTTTCCAACTTCCTTGATATCTATCCACTGTGATTTGTTCCATCTCGTAGAGTTTCAGCTTCAGGTTCCATTTAATTGTGATACATGGGTACTATGCATACTATGGGTTGTCAGTTCTGTGGCCCTTTTTCAATGTTTTTAAAAGAGTTTTAAAATGTTACTTTTGTCTCATGAGAGGTTATTAAGCACATTGCCATCAGGCCTAGATAATACTAGAAGATTTCTAAGAATTTTGCAATATCTCTTGATGTCTTTTTTAGATTATTTTTGGACCGTTTGACTTTATTTTTTCAGTTTCACTAGAGATACAGACAGGAAATGAGGGAAGAGAGGGGTTTGACATGCAACAGAGGTCCCTGACTGGAATCGTACCAGAGATATTACGGTTATATGGTATGCATCTAAACCACAGAGTCACCAAGACTTTTTACAGATAAAGCTGGGCTATGTATTGTAGTCCAATTGCAGAAAGAAACAAGAAACTAAACCCATCCCTTTTTGTAGAGTATCATGACTTATAATGACTACTGGAAAGTTGATTACTTAATTAACAAAAATTATGTTCAGTTGTTCTTCTTGTTGTGTTTTTAAACTCCTCTGGGTACTTTTTCTTTTTGGTTAATATTGATTAAAGGAAAGTTGCAGTCTAGTCTATTCTTACTTTGGTCTTGTTTTTATAGTTCTGGTTATCATTAACACTTCACGTGGTAATCAATCAGGTTTGATAAAATTGTGCTCACTCAAGTAATGACTGTGAACACTGCGATTGCATCAGTACAATGAAGTCCAATGGGACAAGAAACACGAGCGGTCAGACAATCAGGGGGGATGTAAACAAGCCAACAGTTGAGACAGATTATCTGAACCACTTTAGAGGTTAAACCGAAAGTGAGCATAAACACAATATTGGCAATAATTCCTCTCCGCAGAAGAAAACTGATCTAAGTTGAATCAAGAAGTCCGTCTGTAAACTGTTATGGATGTTTACAATGGACATTCTGGGAAATCACTTTACTTTTTGCCTTTGTTTTCTCTTCCAAATAAGTTTGGCTAACCTGGGGGTTTGTTTAAAATCCGTATCTGTATGTTACTAGTTGAGTTCCAATATTTTAGCAATTAATACATTGGGAATAAGAAAAAGCTAAAACTAGTAAACTAAGTTGTATATAACCAGGGTTTTCCTTTTAACTACAATCACTACTCACTCATTCCTTAAGTACAATCAGGAGGAAAAACAACAACGTAAAGCCATCGAAAGGCCTGTGATTGGTAAATAAACATAAAAGAAGCCTGAAGTGAAAGATAAAAAAAACTGACAGCCACTGAGCAGCAGACTAATGGAGGTAAAGATGGATCGCAGCAGAGAAGCAGGTGAAAGAAAAGTGGACACAGCCGGTGGAAAAAAGACAGTCAAGTGTTTTTGTACGGGAGCTGTGAAAATTATAGATGTGTTTTACTACCTGGGAGGAGGGCAGAGAAAAGGTCTGTATGCAATATATAGGAGCAATGTGAAGGAGGGGAGAGGGGGTTACCGCCTGAGGGCTGAAAGCTTCGTTCTGTGCACACACACAAATACCACACACATATAAACACGCACAAGCCAAGGTCTTGATCACACATAACACGTAAGTGAAACACAAACACCCCGGCCGACGCAGACAAGACTAATGAGTTTTGAGGAGGGACAGATTATGAGGAAACTTTCACCACGTGTGTTTCCGTTGGGAAAGCCCAGGTGACACGTCTTCGTCATCCTGCTTAATGCTCAGTCGTTTTCCATGCAAGTCTATGCCTGCACAGCTGGCCGCATCGCCTCAATAACACATACAGGTTAAGGCTGGCCGGTCATTCCTCAGGCATTA